CAAGCAAGTTGTTGCACTCGACCTCCAAGCAAGTTGTTGTTTACGTCACACCAGAAAAGCCGGCCAAATACAAAACAGTCCACCAAAAACTGGCCTTGTGTCAGAGCTGTACACGACAGCAGGCAGTTGGCTGAAGTTGCCAGCATCTATCCAAGATCGCTCTCGTTGCTGCTTGAACAGCACTGACCTTGATCGAAACACAGCTCGCTGGACACAGTGAACGGATGTATTGAAAGATTGCATGACTGCTGCGGCATGACTGACTTGACGATTTCAATTTCTCTCTATCAAAAGCTCAGGGCCTAGCATCACTCTTTCCAATGGTCTTATCATAACGGCGGCTGTCAAAAGGTTAGTTTCCGTAGTTGGTCTTTCAAGCCATGTGGTAGCCTTCTTAGCGCGAGTACGCTGCACCTTCTGGAAATCAAGCTGGCCTGTTTCACTAAGTACTCCTGTCAACAACATCGCCGATTCTGAAGAAGCGCCCGAGCCAACGACTACATGCTCCACCTCGCAGTGACCAGTGCTTGCTTGCATTCACAATTCAAAAACAAGTTGAACTGAATGAATGGCCCATGGCCTGGCCTTGCCATGAAGAGAATTCCTGGGATGGGTTCCAAATATGTCACATGTCTATGTAATCTAATGCTGTGATTGTGATGATTCTTAAGTGTTGATTCATGATTCATGCATCCTTTCTAACACCTACTAACTGAGGGCCAAACCAAGCTTGTCTCAACAACCCATGGAAAGCAAGGCCGAGCCTTTGGGAAAAAGAACTTTGGCATTCCACCACCGCCAAAGTTGACAATAGCATAGTCAACCGGTCAATCACACCACAGCCAAACATCACTTGAATGTTTGACTGCATAGAGTCATAGAGGTCCAGACGCATAGTAGCGGATGCAGTCGCCACAGGCTGTCCATCTGCTTAAAACCGGAATGAGAGGTCGGCAATGAAACCTGGAGCAAAGGCCAGGGCTAAGGCGGCTAAGGAGAGGCTTGACTGACTATAGACTATAGACTATAGACATCCATAAATAATGAGACTCTGAGCACAATGCAAGACATCTGCTACCGCAATCCAAAAACGCACTCCTTGGTTGGGTTAGGCTTGTATAATCTTGTATATATTATATAACTGGTGCAAGAAACTATCAACCAACTGCCAAGAACAATACAGGGCCCTGACTAGATTCTTCCTTGTTCTTGCAGCAGTTGAGAGAACAGTGATGCACAAGCTTTGGCTGCCTCCAATCCTGAAGGAGCTATATCCCGTTGACTCTGACTACGATCCAGACAGACTACTTGAACAAATAAAGTGTTTTGTCTTTGACTCAGGGCGCAGCCCCATTTGCTATTGCAAGAATAGCTGCTTGTGCTGATGCCCTGGATTGTCCGTCTTCCGGTTCGTGGTTCAATCTGGGGCCTCACAGTTTGCTCAATTCGATCATGTTTTGAATCCCAGCAAGACCAGCCTTCCCCTAGACAGGTATCAAGCAGGCTTGCGTTGTATGCAAGGTTGGCTTCAGTAGGCCTGCAAATTTGGGAAAGGGCGCAGCAGAAGCGTACACTACTTGGTTTACGGATGCTCCCGAATATGCAAGCAGAACTAATATGGACTATATTGTAGACTGGACCATAGGCTATAGCCAGTCATAGTATAGGCTATAGGCAGTGGAATAGGCAAAGGCAATTTTCACATTGTATAGAAGCAGGCAGCTTGGCCTGTCGTAGCGCACTTCCAAGCAACTGTCCACGATCTTTCTTGCGTGAACCAAGAGTTCATAGTACACGGAGCCGTTTGTAAAGAGCGAAGAGGGGCAAAACCTGAGTATTGTTCACTGATTATGATTTTTCCATGAAAGCAAACAGAAAGAAGTGTGCCAGGAAACATTGGAGAAAGGTCACCTAAAGTTTTCAGCGCGATCTCTGAGCAATGGTTGACTTGATGCCTCAGCCCCAAGATGCCCCAAGAAACAAATACATGCAGCAGCCGATACTGAGGGTTGAGGACATGGCAATTGACAACTCTGCCGAAGGACCTGACAGGCAAACTCTGTTCTGACGGATTGTATGATATATTATCAATATTGTATTATAATCTGAATTATAGCGGCTATAAGGCTATAACTTATTTATCATCACGCACCATAATCTATGGTGCATGGTCCATGATTTGACTCTGTGTGACTCAGAATCGTTGACTGGGCCTCCAGCTAGTGTGTTATCCTGCCCTTTGTCGCCCACGTTCTTCACCATTGCTTTGTTGGCTGAAGCACTGTCGCAAACAAAGCACACAACCAAGACCTTGCACTTGGTGGCCAAACCTAAGTGAAAGGAAGAAGTTGTTACTTATATCTTATATGATGTTGACTCAGTGACCCCGAACAAGCAGTTTCCCGTCGCTGCCTGTCTGTATCATCTCAAGAAAAGAACTGGGAATCCACACTTAACGGCTCAACCACACTAGATTTTACTAGCGCCTCCCACAATGCTGGCGCAGTCTTGCGTCTCAACACTGCAGGTGGATTCACTGCCTCCAAAAAGAACTCTGGCCCACTTTGCTGCCAAACAATGTTATCTATCAATCATCTATAATCTATCAGAATCATACCAATCATCACAGTCAAAATGAACCTAAACAACGCTACTCAGCGACTCAGGACATGACAAAAAAACGCTTGATCATTCCAGCTGGCTCATCAGCGATGAGCATTGTAGTTTTTGAAACCTAACGGCAAGAATGTGTGGCTGCAGCGAGGTCAACTTAGATAAAAACACACATCTGGACTCTGAACCAACAAAATCAGACATGTGGCCATGACCCCCATTGTGGTGTTGGTTCTGTTCAACCGCATTTGTTGCCCAGTCTCATCAAATTCCACGTGTACACCAATAACCCTTGCAGGGTGCTCATCCTGGCCAAGGTTGTTGGAAGTTGTTGGGGCATTTCTTTTTTGGGGGGGGAGGAGGTGGCGCCTGCATCATCTCCTGCGAAGCCAATTCCTTTTGCTTCTTCAAGTAGAACTGGCACAAGGCGTTACTTGCCTGGAAAGGCAAGCGCAAAACTCAAGACCCGATTCACAGTCCAAAACCGCGACAAACCAAAGGACCAAACCCATCAAAATCCCAAGAACTGTTCCTTGACGGGCCAAAAAAATTGTGCCTTGGCAATCATTGAAGCTGAAGAACCCATCCAATAAGCCATGGAGTTGAGGGAAAACCTGAGCTAGATTCTGTCGTTGTTTGAAAGTTGTTTGGCCTTCTTGTTTCTTGTTTTAAACTTTTTGTACATACACGCCGCTAGGGCACATTGTCGGTGACTTGCTCTTTAACTTTGGTAGTTTCAGCACACCGTTTCTTGTACGCCGCATCTGCATATCTGCCACTGATCGACCAAACCTTGGACAAGCCAAGATCACCCTGGACCCTACAACATCTACAGTCAACAGTCTGCAGTACAGAGTTAGTTCAAAAATTTCACACATCACATCTTTTCTTATTATTTTAAATAGCATGGGCCATGGTCATGAGTCATGACCACGTTTGTCTTGCGCAACCCAGCACGGAGAGGTGCCGCAGTTGTCCAGCTTCTGTATTGACCTGTCACTCAAAGTTCGGTAGCAAGACGACTATGACTAATTAATATTATATACTATTCTGCTAAAAAGTGACTGTGTGTGTCAGTGTACGCAGTTACTTATCCCCAATCCATCTCAACCCGCCTTTTCCACGAACCTTCTTCTGATGCAAATTATCGAGGTCAATGATATCTTGTGCTCGCACTGCGTGATCAGTGTTGAATTTCTGAATCTTGCTCCTATCATGGGGCTGTCTATATGTCCGTATCCAACACAGTTCAACCGATTCTGAAAACACACAGCGCCAATGCCAAGACTGTTTCAAGTTTCAATAATACATCCTGCCTCACAGATGAAAACTTCTGCATGAAAGACTTCTGAAGTTGTTTTTTTGCTTTGCCTACCGAGCGGTACCAAAAAGTGAAAAACAAGCAACTTAGGAAACAGAGACTCATCATTCGAATCGAACGCCTGCTCTAGCAATGGCCATCCGTGTGTTTGGACAAAGCCATAGCCCTCGCTGACATCTCTGTATTTGTGCAGTGGTACGCAGCACCAGCTGCTGTGCTACCCCAAGCGCCGGCATGGCAAGTTGCTTCGGTCAACTTGCTTAATTACTGTAAGTATTGAGTCCTGAGTCCTGCTAAAATAGGTTGTGGTCCTGCTCTGCCACCCTCATGAATTGCTCCAACATCTCCGAGAATCGGCGCAGCGGAGGACATCCCTTTGAGTCCTTGAGGTTAAAGTTTTGAGCAAACACATATTTCAACAGTCTCGTCCTGCGCGACAACAGCAACAGCCCACTGCTCAACTGTCCATCTGAATCTGCACATCGCAGCGCAGTTAGTAAGTGAGAAATCCCAAGGGTAAGTCAGTCTCAGTCAGTCTGTAGTATAGTCTGAGTCATATCATATCGAATCATATCCTATCGTCTATCACGTCCCCGTAAACTAACAAGCGCACCCTGTAACCTGTACCATCCTGTGTACCTGTACCCGCGCGCGTTGTGCCTGTACCCGCGTCTGTACCGCCGTACCAAGTACCCGTACCCGTACCCGTACCACCGTACCAAGTACCCGTACCCGCACCTGCACCACCGTACCAAGTACCCGTACCCGTACCCGTACCACCGTACCAAGTACCCGTACCCGTACCACCGTACCAAGTACCCGTACCTACGCGCGTACCTACCCGCAAGGCCCGCTATAGACACATAGGGAATCATTGCTCTGTGATATTGCACAAGGGTTTGGGTGGACTGGCCGTATCCATGCCCACCCCAATGTACACCCTCAAGAAACATAAGAACACCTATATAGATACAAAAACAAGTAAGATGATCCTACATGAGTGACCTCAGGAACGTTCAACGCTGACCCACAACATAGCAAAGCAGGCTGAACTTTCCCCAGTTGCTCTGTGACTTGCGTGCACCAGCGATCATTCCATTGAATGAAGCTGGTCTTCTCCAGGAAGTTCCACACCTGTGACTTCCAAACAAGCATGCAAGAGACTATGTTCCTATTCGCCAACCCTGGACGAAGCCGGGGACCGCGAAAGGGAATAAGGGGTTGTAGGTCTCTGCACTGCCTGGCTCTAGGTTTGATGATTTTGATGTTTCTGCACAGAACTAGATATCCCATTGCGGGGGCGGCTGCAAATGGCACGTGCTTGTTGTTTGTTTGCATTGAACTAGATGATTCAATTATGTTTCGAGGTGCAAAAGAGGTCGCGCAGTGTGGAGGATGTGAAGTCTTAGACGGCTAGATGGGTCAAAGGTGTGGCCAGGGCAGGTCTTGCGTTTGTGAGTTGGGCTTGTAGCTAAATGGGTTTGTCTTTAAAGTCATTTACATCGCACTGATTGACTCTGTCTGGACTTCCCCACAGTTGCATGGACGTGCTTGAAAACATTGACTCACGCCAGTGTCTTTGATCGGCAGTTCCGATTAAAAAAACCTTTTCACCAGGCAAGACCGATCCATCTTCAACCAAATCATCCAAATGGTCAAAAATTGCAACTTATGAGCATGAATGTTAGCAGATTGGGTTTCTCTGTCATCTTGTGACATTTAACGACGACAGCCTGTTTTCGTTATATACGGCATTATTATCATTGTCTTTAAATCTGTTGACAGTTGCTTCAAACCTTTGGCCTTTGGCCGCACATAACATTCATAATATTGTTGTTGACGCCAGCTGCCACTTTTGCATACTTTTGCCCATTCGTGGGATTTGGTGGGGCTGACATTTGATTAAGGGTTTGTGGTACTGTTGCGGTTTCTCTCGAATGGGGTGTCGCAAGCTTTTTACGTTTGCTCTTCTCAGGGTCGGCAGCACGGGGCCGCAGCCCTTAAACATATACATGGGGGTGCTCCTTATGCTACCGACCCGAATTCTGCATCACTAACTCACCAAAAATGGCCTCACGAGAAAGTAGCAACTCCGCTAAGTTTCCTCTTCATTCGCAGAAACTAAGTTCAGCATGTTCAGCCTAGCCTCATAAGCCGCTTTGAGCTGCTTCCAGAGGTTTTTGGACGATGTTTGATCAATTTTTGCAACGCTCAAGTAGTCTTAGTACAGACATCGTGTAAAGTACGGAGTTATTGCACTGATTGAGTGAACATGCCACTGTTAGCAACATGCTGAATGTAAGAAACATACAGTGAAACACATGGCTTTGGGTTCCCAATCCAAAGCCTCGTAAATGCAATGTTTTTTGGCTTGCCGAGGTTCAAACACATCGGTGTTTCCCGTGTTGCTTTGGCTTCGATTGGTTCGCACTAATGCGAAAACACAGTATAGAGCCACAGTTTTGGGATCGTTTCCTGAGGTTCAACTGTGGTATTTTCCTTGTGCAGTTTTGGTACTATGGCACGCGCGCGCGCGCGCTGAGAACATGCTTCAAAAAATAGCGTTCTCGGGGCGCACGCATCCTCCTCCTCCTCCTCCTCATCCTCCTCCTCCTCATCATCATCCACCACCACCACCACCACCACCACCACCACCTCTATAACAGCAACAGCCACAACAATAACCCCTTGTGGCATGGCCGGTAGTAGTGTACGAAGCTCTACACAATATAGACAAGATTTTACATATGACTCATGTCTCAAGTCCGGGCTTCCCTGCATGCACCGGTGGTGGACGCGTGAGCTCCAGTTTCTGTGGCTGTCGCGAAGTTACTCGCAGCGCTCCTCTGACCCCACCTGCATCACTCCTGCAGAAAAGGAAGCTACTAGGAACAAAGGGCATCGCTACTATGAGCAAGTACGCTACTAGTAGCTCCTGGCATTACTACTAGTAACAAGAAGCTACTAGTAACATTTGTCAAGTTGGTACTGGCGGCGGGCTGCCTGTGCACAAGCCCCATGCAGCAGAAAACGCACATATCTGATATCTTCAAAAGCTAGGATTGCAAAAACATTTTGCACGTGGGCGGGACAAAACTTGCAGTGAAACTTGCAGCAAATAGCCTGGACAGTGGGAGGTGTCACTAGGTGCCACAGCACATGCAGTTTTAAAGATCTTTATGGGCCTTCCTGCGGGGCCTTCCTGCGCCAGCCAGCTGCAACAGCTGATATATACACATTGTTCATCCCGCTTCATGGTCTGAGCTGAGTTGAATCTCAGCTGCTTTGCAGGTGAATTCGATCGGGTTGCAGCACAACTGGCCGTCGATTCGGCACAACTGCTGGTGAAACATCTTCCCATCAGAGTGGCTGATACTCTGACCTGCGGATGTCCAAAGCCTGGCACGGCTCAGCACATGTGCGATAAGGTGCTTTGACGTTCAGTGACGCATTGACATGAAAAGAGTCAGAGTAGAACTGTGAATAGTTGTTCCAGGTTCCATAGTGATTGCATAGTCGAATAGTGAAAAACATGTCGACATAACCTGCAGCAGGAAGCATTAGTTAGCATTAATTCTTCTTGAGAAAGCCGAAGTACTGCTCAAGGAAGCGTTCCTTGGATAGTGGCACTGAATCAGTCTGCGCCAACAAATTGTCCTTCTTGACGTAGTTTGGGATTGACAGCTTTCAGCTAGTGCCGGCTTCTTGCAGCCAATGTGTCTATGTTAATCGCACCCTCAGGTGTGATCTCTGCTGCAACAAGCCACTCATCCACCTTGCTAAAAACTTTGACCCATGCATGGCCACTTGTAATGGTTCTGAAAACACGGTTTGGCCTCTTCTGCGGTGAGCACATCGCCCATCCGAGTAAGAACGTGCTTGAGCTCCTGTGATGGTCATTCGGAAGGTTGGATATGGGGCAAACTCGCCGCTCTTACCACAGCCTGCCACCAGAGTGACAAACCACTAACAGGGGCCTTGACCATGATGAAGCCATCACCTGTTCGGTCGAAGACTTTCAAGGCATCCTTGGGGCAAAGACGAAGTGCGGAGACAAGTTGACGTTTTCAGATTTTCAGGCATTGCAGCATCAGAAAGCCAAACCCAGCAAAGTATAGCAAAGTGTCATTGAGTTCTTCGTATGGATCTCTGCCCACCAGCTTTGCCATCAAGTTTAAGAATTCCTGCACTAAAATGCAATGCTATGAAAAGCCGGGGAGGCTGCAGTTCCACTGACAACTGATAACTTCCACTGCACGGCTTCTGGCAGTGGTCCCACAACAAACATTCGGACTCAACTCTGCTTACCGACGGAAGCTTTGTTCAATCATAGTCTCGATACTTACTTGCATTCTACCATCTGACCTCGTGCGCAACAGCATCAAAATGTGTCAAGCTTGCTGAAACGAGGATAAAAGTCCTGGAAATCCAGTTCGCCTCGTGTGATTGCCAAACGCAGGCCACGTTAACAAAACGTGGAACGTCCAAGCGCAGACCGTCCCATGCACGTGCTTTTGCAATTAAGTCACCATTTCCGTCTTTGTCTACCTCATTGATCCATTGCACCAGCTCATCATCAGCAGGGCATTGTCCCAAGCAGCGCATTGCCGTACCCAACTCACTGGTAGAGATTGAGCCGCCGCCATCCAGGTCCTCAGGATACACCCTCTGCCAGTCTCATGGACACGACAAGAGCTGACTCAGTTTCAACTGGGATTATTTGATATTATTTGATGTATGCAAACGCAGCGAAGGGCCTACAAGAATCGCACACACACATACAATCACATACATATATATATATATATATTGATCAGACTGAACAGCAGGTCTTGCCGCACAATGCCACGCGCGAGTTTGTAAGTGTGATAAGTGTACTCGTGTAAAAGTAGATAAAAGTAGCAATGAACGACTGTGAATTGTGATTGTAAAAAATGCAGTCTCGAGTCTCAAGGCTCTTTTTGACAATCTCAAAATCAGGCGAGAACATGAAGGACGCAACATCGCGAACAGTATATACGTTGGGACAAGCACAACGCGTCGTCCATGCAACAAGGCTGCATAGTCGTCGAAAGCTGCTTTGTACCTCAGTGCGCACTTTATCTCTAGTTTGTGAATGTGGACCCCTGTTGCCACCCAATGCCACACAAAGTTCTTTGATCTAAGTGGCTCAGAAACCTGCTCTTCTGTAAAATACTCAGCCATTGGCCTCAATGAAGGAGCAAAATGCACACAATGATCCGGCATTCCTGACATCACGATCTCTTGCCTGTGCCTGGTGGGAACTTCGACGGGCCTCTGTGACCGTCAAGTATCTACATGGCCTTACTTTGAGCCATTCTGCGTGATATCGGAGCAAACTGGAGGAAAGGCTGGCCCATTTGCCCTATGCGTTTCAGTCTCAAGACTCCAGAAAGAATAAACAAATCATTCCGCGAAGGTCCCGCGTGTATCTATAATATATATATATACACACGATATCTTACAATCAGTCAGGAACAGAAAATAGGTGCTCCTCGCAGTTGTTCTGGCAGAGCCAGCTGACCTGGACTGTGAGCAAATCATCGATTGAAAGATTTTGAAAGCACGCGCTGGCGGCAACTCATGGCAAGAGTCGTCACACTCTGCCAGGGCACGCTGGACGGCTGCTTCGACCGCTGCGACCAGTGATAGCACTGAGATTCCCGGTAGAGCCTTATCATGCGACTCACGACCATTGTTGGTCCCACATGTGCGCCGCGTGCGGCAGTGTGTCTGTGTCCCATATATTGATGGCAAGGCACTTCAAATCTGAACCCTGTCTCAAGCGCCAACAAAGCCATGAAAGGAAACAACGAAGGAAAAAAAAAAGAAAGAGAGAAAGGACAAAAAAATTGTCTAAAGTCCAAAGGTCTAAACAACAGGAAACAGAACACATATAACTACGCCCGACTAGAGAGAAGTGCAAAAAAGTAAAGAACCAGGGCCTATAGCCGACCGAACTTTTAGCATTTCTATCTTTGGTCTTTGCCGGTAAAACACAATGCAACAAAAGGACCGCCCGACCGAGCACTCAAAACATTTTCATCCTTGAGATGTCCATGCATATATCATGAAATTTGATGCGTGTTGATCAAAAGTGCTGCAAATAGTGCAAAATATGAAAGAAACCTGTATTTTACAGGATCAGCACAGATTTCCTAGCTATCCTAGCTAACCCTGTAGAACCGCCAAGCGTCTCTTTTACTCTACCTTGAGAGTCCACGCTACGGGGTCCATGGGGATGAGGTGAATTTCAACACCCCCCTTTACAAGGAGCTACCCGTAGGGAAAATCTCGGGGAGGAACAAATTCTAGCGACGAAGGAATCATATTAGAAATCCCTCATCAAGCTCGTGCATGCACTGTACAAGGACAACGTAGCTACCCTAATGTACAACCTACCGGCTCACTCGGCATGTTGTTACACATGCTTGACCCAGTTTGACTAGAGCATTGATTAAAGTTCACTCTCCGCCTAAAGCAATCCGGTTAAGGATGCAGTCCTGTGTGAGACAACGTGGTGAAACATCATCTCACTCCGGGTCAGAAGATGAACTGTGTCTCAACACTCATAGGCTGTAGAGCTTACCAATCATGGTAGCTGTCCAAAACTTGCATTGTTAATAATGCCTGTACCCAAATCCTTCAATATCATCCCGCCAACCATTCTCCATCCATGGACGAAGTTCCATGTGGTTGGGCCAATAGTTTTCAGCCCATGGATCGTCTCGCTGCCATTGCACACCAGGAAAATCAAATGAGTCCAACGGTGAATCATCCGAAGGTTGTGAACTCTTCGGCGCCGGTTGCCCAGTGCTCTGAGTGTATGACTGCCCAGTTACGGGAGTATTCGAAGGCGATGGGGACCTTGGCGGCAACGGTGGAGGAGGCATATGATCATAGTGCCACGGCCTTGCTTCATATGGGCCTTCGCGAGAACGACCCTTTGGCTTGCCTTGTCCCTTTCCTTTTACGGAAGGCTGCAGAAGAGGCGGTGGCTCTGGCGTCAGATTAAAATCTGGCGGCCTTGACTGATCTGGTAGACCGTCTGATGCAGTTGGTCGTAGCTTTGGTGGCGGTCTGGCTGCCGGTGAAAGTCCCGGCATTGGTGGGTGATTAGGGGCTGGTAAAGGTGGTGCTTGCCCAATGGGCAGCTTGGCTTTGGGTACCGGTGGTACCTTTGGAGGTGTTGTTGACGGTGGTGGTGGGATCTGTGTTGTAGTGGAGGACCAAGTCGGTCCTTTGGGACGTTTCCCCGTTTAGGGGGGTAATGATATCCTGCCAACTGAGCCTCGGGGCTTCCACCTCCTGTTCCTCGCGCACCAGTTCCTCCAAAGGAAAACTTCCCTAAACGGAATGTCGTGCCGGACCCGCCAATTGCCCCCAAGGGCCATCCAACAAATTTTGTTCCTGGTACAGCAGAGCAGAATATGAGGGCCGCATGGCAAAGTGCCAAACAGCCACCATTGCCAAATGTTGAAGGCGGTGGTACTATGTCAGGCGACGGCTCAAACGCTCCCGTAAAAGGGCCCATCACCAGAAGCGCCTGTAACTAGGCCGCCGCTTCGTCGCAAACGTTCTCAAGCTTCAAATATTGAAACAGCAGATGTTGACAAGAGGCCGCGTTTGCAATGGAGGAAGAAGGAGGAGCGTGATGATGCAGGACGCTTTGCAGCTTGGTCAGATGACAGAGTTCCTCCACCTGGGCATCACGCTGACCGAACTCCAAAAGAAGTCGTTCCAAACGAATAATCTCATCGCTTGTAATGTCTTGTCCATAATCTGCGAACTTCGGTAACGAAGTGGCCATGCGTTGCATTCATGAATCCAAAATCATCGAGTGTCATACCGCGGCCTTTCTCCTGCATGCGCACTGATTGTTGTGCGTTGTGTTGATATTGCGCAATAGCATATTGTTCGTTCTGTAGCGCAAACTCTCGTAGCACACTGTACACGCCCAGCGTGTTTTATGAGGAATAGAAATATTGTGGACGTCGCCATAGACATCATCTGTAGGAATAAATCCTTGAACCTTGACCTCGTCGCGGCCATTGCCAATTACGGCAGCATACTGACGAAGAGAAAGGAATTCGCGTCTGTAACTGATGAGAAAATTCTCGCTGAGGCCTGGCTTGAAACATGTATGTAAATTGTCAACACCACGTCGAATAAAAGCCAATTTCGCCAAGTCAACTCGTTCTAGACGGTCCAGCTCGCTCACAACAGATTTCCCTTTGGATCTCTGCTTTGCTGACCTAGAAGGGGCCGGAAATTGCAGTGAAGCAAAGAGGTCTTCTTGAGCTGCGTCAAAGGCTGTGCAACCCTCTCCGGTTGAGGAGGTAGCAAGAACATCACCGCGGTTGAACCGATCGTAAACATTCTCGTGCCCCAACTTGAGAGCACGACGAAGACGATTGTTGGGTGAAAGAACCATTTGGCTGTCAACCGAAGGATCACCGCGTGGTGGAGGACGACCGGGTTGAAGATCTTGTCCGGCAATGCTGTCAAGCATGCTAGTGGAGGTGATATTGCTGGGCACACCCCCCTGCTGTTGTACTGTCCTCGCACGCCGCATTTGCAACGGCATAAACTTTGAAATAGGACCATCTGTTGTACTGCCTTGAAATACTGCGCCACATCTATAACAAGTTAACAAGATGCCATTCCTGCTAAGGAAAGCGTTGTGCACTCATTGCAGCTGAAGGTGCGGAGATGTAAAAAGCGGCCGCTCTCGATGGGGCCGACTTCAGTACGTCCAGTAGCCTCCATCTCTTCCTTCTTGACAGAGCTTCTTTGGGCAGTGCGCTCTCCTGGAGTGTCGTCGTTCATCCCGATTGCATCTGCTTGATCAGCGACGTCACCAGGAATAAGATCACCGTTCACTTGTTTGATGCCAGGCTCGATCTTCGTGGGGTCGATCGCCTGGGGCCTCGAATAAAATACTTCGGGCTCCGCATTTACGCGGGCTTTGGTTGCAAAAAAGAATAAATGTATTTGGCACGTGATGGCTTGCAATCACCGCGTTGGAGTTCGTCATAAATAGGTCCACGCCGGCCTCGATGACCTCGGCTGTAGAAAAACATACTTCAATGGGTCGATCTGCACGCACACCTGAAGTCGCCTTCTGGTTTCCCAGAGGTACAATCGAGAAGAAAGAGTTTCCTTTCGATTTCGTCCCACCTGCTCCTCCGCCTGGCAAAATGCCGTTGGCGATGATGGAGCGAGCCGCTTGCTCATGGGTGCGGTGGTAAAGCCGCGGTGGGATGTCCCTATTCGCGTGGGCGGTTAGGCTCATGCGATACCTGTATGATCAGGTCGGCAAAATATTAGTTTTGCTAGAACTTCATTGGACCTTGTTTCCAATACGTCATCTGTATGACCTTGTCCGCAACGGACTTTGACAGGAGCTTCATGCAACTGAAGCGCTTTGTTCACGACGGAATCGGTGAGTTCCATTTTTAGAATCACTGCTTTTAGGGGTCCAAGTGCTTCCGAACAACTTTGGTGAACTCAAAGCGGTCCTTGTCATCATAAATAGCCATTGAAATTAAACGATACAAATTGAAACTCTCTGCATACTGCGAGAAACGCTTCGCAGCAATCTCCAAAAGTTTGTAAATTGGCAAATAGCAAGCTGCATCGTAAATAGAAATATCGTGAACGTGCCCTCGCAAAATGCCTGAAATACCTTTGCGAACATGCTTGGGCCATGGGCAATCATATTCCCATGGAACGCCATGTGCATCTTCGTTTTCATAGTAATACCGATGCGCAGTAATGTGGCGCAACGTGTATTGCATGGCATTCTTGCCCAAATTTGTCTCCAACAACTGAATATTGCCATTGCCAAGGTTCTTCAACAGGTGATCCGGGTAAGGATACCGGCCGAGGACCTCCTCGATCTCAACATTCATGTTCTTGAATTCAGGGTTCGGCTTCATTTCACGAATGAGCCTGCCTTTGCCCTTTCCAGAGAACTTGAGGTCGGTCTCGTCGTCCTGTTGACCGGCCAAGCTCCCAGTTACGGGAGCTTGGGCAGGTTCCCTGACCCTGACCCTTCCCTCGCTGGCGAGGGAGCGGAGCCCTCGACGTAGAAGCGGATGAACCTCCGGCATGGGATCGCCGTCATCATCAATGTCAATAGCAATATTAAAATCTGTAGTTTGTATCTCATTTGAAATAGGATTGGTTGTCCAACACTTGAGCCTCAACTTCCATCATTTGTTGTTCTTCTTCTTGCGACACTGCAGCTACGCCATGTTGGGATCTTGTTGTGGCTGTGCGACGTCTCCTCATTCTCCATGGTGATGTCCTCAACGGCCGGGTCGATGTCCTGTTGTTCAACTTTCGGCTCGGCAGTTACGCCGGCTTGTTCGTTGACATCGTCGTCGGCGTCAAACAGCACCACATGCTCTTCAGGAAGTTCAATGTCCACAGTGGTGTTGATGTATTGCAAAAGTTCTTGTGGATCTTCCCCTTCCAGGTTAACGGAGGCACGGAGTTCTTCGACGGAGACGTCATTCGTATCGAATGGGTTGGCCGTCTGGATCTCCTCCACAGTGAACTGCCTGCTTTTCCCAATAGACTTTTTGCGTCTGGCAATCCGCTCTTTTGCTAACTCTTCAACCAACTGTAAAATAGATGTATTGTTGGGAATTTCCACTCCTCCTGCT